GACATCACTCCATTGCTCCATTGAGAATAATTTGCGAATGGAGCCAATGGAGACCAACTAGCTTATAATATAGTATTTGTAAATAATTAGTAACAAACTCTATTGGCTCTATTAGCTCCATTGGCTAGCAATTTTTTCAATGGAGTATATCCATTGCCGACTTAGATTAACAGACTAAAAAAAAAAAAATTAAATTTTAGCGAAAATTTTATTCGCTTGAACTATATATAATTGAAAAATAAATAGGTATATTTGACAAAGTTAAAAGTAGTTAATATAAAATTCACTTTTTATCAATAGTTTGTAGTTTTGAGGATAAAAAACCTGATTAGCATATACGTAATACATCGTTTTATAAAATCTTCTGTAGAAATTTACCTTACAAACAAAAAAAAAAAATTTTTGCGACAGTGAGTTGCAAGTAGTGATGGGCAAAATCGCGATTTTTCAAAATATCCCGCGAGATGTGGGATCCGTGCGTGATACGCAGGATAGAAATGACCAATTACTGATTTCCTATAAATAACGTACAGAATGCAGGAATGTGGGGTTAAATGTTCTGAATAGTTATTTTTATAACAGGTAATTAAAGATACGTAATAGTTGTCAAGGAATTGAAGATCTTCTTGCCTAAATTTTGATTATCATAGTAAAAATCCCGCGCGCGGATCACGCGCGTGCTGCTAGTGCAGTAGTGAAATCCGCTATGTAGATCACATGCAATAAAGAACACAGCCATAACCCTAACCCAGATTTTACTAGCTCGCAACTCAGGTTTAACTCTGTCATATTATATTTAGGAACCCCTATTTCTATTAGGGTGGAACTAATGTTCTTTCAATTCCTATAATTGTAATGTCATAATTCAAGAGTCTTTTCTTACTCATAAAAATTGAGAGATTAGTAATAATAATACCCAAAATAATAAATGAAGATAAATGCGCACCTATGCATTTAAAAAATGATGTCAGAAATTAATTACGACTTCCTTTATTGTATAAATGTGTAACTCACAAGTTGCTTATTTTGAAACTTTAATTACGATAGGCTAAAAATTTTTCTATAAAATCCTGTGTATTAGTGAATTCTTGTATTTTCAAAATGATTTTTCCAAATGAGTTGCAAATACAAATTTTAACTGATCTTATTGCTATATCAAAGTAAGTTGATAATAGGATTAAAATATTATTATTATTATTTTCTTAATGACCTTTAATAATGTTAATAGTTTCGAATATTTTTGTACTCTTCGAACTGTTTGCAAAAAATGGAATATATTCATTCCTCCAATAACGCATGAAGCCGTTATTTCTAGATTAAAATCTTTTGATTTAAAGCTTGGGGTAAATCAATTTTTTTAAGTTATAAAATTTTTTACAGCATATTAAAATTTAATCAATACTTGTACTATAGTAAAAATTAGTAATAATCACTTTTGATTTAGTTTACGGACTGGGACGAAACAAAATGGTCTAAAGAATTTTTACCAACCTATGACGATCATACCAAGACTTTTACTTTTTTAGTTGATATTAATTACATAAATTTTGATTGGGAAAATTGGAAAAAATTTGCTCTTGGGCCTCAAACGATTGATTTCATAGTATTCGTTGAAAAAACAAATTTATTAACTCTGATTAAAATTAGTACTAAATTTAGTAATTTAGTTAAGCCTGCATTTAAAAGTGATAATATTTATAAACATGATTTTGATCATAAAAATAACGTGTGTTTCAAACGTGTAATTAAAACCAAGTATGTTTGTTATTACAAACTTTATTGTTTGACCATTGCGGCTTGGAAACTTTATTATATTTTGGATTATATTGATGAGTATGTTGTTTTTGTATACTTACTTGTTATGTTTTTGTTTACTTAATATTAAGATTTCTTATTTTTACAATATTAGTAAACTTATAGAATTGAAAAAAGATTTTCAAATTTTTCTAAAGATTTTATGAGACACATCCTTGTAATTTAGATTAGTTGCATAACGAATAATAATAATTATTTGTATTTATAATTCTTTTACATATCTGATGGGTTTCCGTACTAAAGGTGTCATTTTTTTTACAATTTTTAATTTTTCTTAATAGATGCATATAGGTTATTAATGATGCCTGATGAAACTCACGTGACCTGATGAAACCATATAGTTTCGTCAATTCGTCAACAGCAAAAACTGTTTCATCAGACATCTATATAGGAGATTCTATATCTCTGGAGATTTTGTCTGATGTTCGACTTTCGTCATGGGTTTCATCTTTCGTCATAGGTTTCGTCTTTCATCAGGGGTTTCGTCTTTCATCAGGGTTTCGCCATATTTTGTCATTTTTAGGTTTGGTTTCGTCTTTCGTTATTTACATAAAACAGTTTCATCTAACAGCTATAGTCTCGAAGGTCATTTTTATAGCAAAGATCCCATATAATATTTATTGATATAGTATTTATATATGGGACCTCCCACAGCGAAAGGGGGGTGGGATAAAAAAATTTTTTTTATAAAAATTTATTTCTTGAAGAATTAGAATAATTAGCATAAAAATAAAAAATTTAATTTGTCCCATCCCCCTTTTGCTGTGGGGGTCCCATATATTGATATTATATTATGGAATGCCTATAGTATGGCGCAAATTTTTGCAAGTAGCATGCCAAAATTTTTAGCTGTGTCACTTACCCTAATATTAACGTTAAATTACTCGGACAACCTAGACCTCAAACACTTTCCTAATGATACTTCCATTGGTGAATTGTCTTTTGTGTCAGTTCTACTATTTTGGACTTGTATTTATATTATATACAGGTGAGGCATCTGTTCATCAATAAGTATCTTTTCAAAATCTATAAAAATCTTTGTTATGGCTTCTCAACAAAGCAACAGTTTTACAGGGACCGGGTCACATCTCTAGGTCACTTGTATCACTGTCCTATTTTTAGATTTAATAAATATCGTTTACTTACCGTTTTTTTACAGTTAGCGCTAGGGTTCCGTGGGTCAACCGTCTTTACCAACCGGTACCCGAAACTAAAACGGGTCACCCGAATATAATCGGGTAACCCAGGTACCGAATTCATTCGGGTTATCCGAATTCATTCAGGTGACCCGAATGAATTCGGATGACCCGTATAAATAACTTAATCAATGTCAAAAAGCGTCGGGAAATAAATTTTACTTAGCGGAAAATCTTTTTAGCGGGTCAATTGCGTTTATCATTATAATAAATATTTAAACAGTGTAGTTTATTAAAGTTTATTACGTAATTGAAATATTTGTATTAGTAAAAAATATTAAGAGAGATAATCATTTTACCGTATTCCGTTCGCCAAAGTACCCCCCCCAATGTATTGTACCCCCATAAATTTTTGTAAAATATCCGGGTATAATGCTATGAGTATTCGGATTTCAAACTTCAAAATTTGTAAAATACCCGGGGTACATATATTTACTATAATCTAATTTTATATTGCATTATATATATCGCTTATAATAAAAAATTTTTTTCTTAATAGCTTTAATTTAAATACATTGTTTTAAAATATGCCTCACGACATCCTTTTTTCAAAAGGTCTCTAAAAAAAAAATACATTAATTTATTAACGAAATATTTCATATATGTCTACTCATTATTCAACTTTATTAACATATTTATTTTAGTGATTAATAAATGTTCTATTTGCTTAAAAAACAAATGTAAATTATTGATTAAATATTAAAGAATAAATGCATTTGCTTTCTAATAAAATATATATAAAAAAAAAAAAAATCGAATACATTTTCAATAAAAAAAAAAAAAAAACTCAATAAAATATTGATCAAAATCTAATTCATTTCATCACTTATTATTGTTGTTTTCTTCATCAGCATTGTTATTATAGCTATCATGTATAATATTCCATTCATTTCTATATTCATCATCTTCAGAATATTTATTGCTATATTCATTATCATCAACATCTATATCCTCATTTTGTTCTAACAAACTATTATAGTCAAAGAGCATATCATCCTCAGAACTATCAGTTTGTATCGAGATCTCACAATATTTAAACGATCTTCTAATAAGATCTGTATCAATTCTATTCCATGAATCTCTAACCCAAGTTGCTACAGTTGAGTATGAAGGTCTTTTAATATGACCTGATAGCATAAAAGTATGAATCATAGATGATATCCATGTATTGTAATATTCCTTAAACTTACCAATACTAATATATATAAATTAATGTTATATAATAATAATAATAAAAATAAAAAAAAAATAAAAAATTACTTTAGACTTGAAACTTTTATTAATTGCAACATCTAAAGGTTGTAATTTTGAAGTGCAACTTGATGGAATAACAACAAGATTCATATTTTTTTCTACTAGTCAGCTTTTTACTGAATTTATAGTATGTATACAAAATACATCTAATATTAAGATTGATCGAGAATTATTTAAACAATAGTTTTTTGAAGCCCAAACTTTCTCTATCTATCATAACATTTTATACTCATTTATCCAACCTGATTCACTAGCTTGAATACAAATATCAGGTAGAAAATCTCTACGAGAAATATTTTTTAATTAGAAAATACAAACAGCTAGAAGCTTAGTGCCATCAGCTATACATACGAGTATAATAGTAAAAGAAGATCTTTATAACTAGTAGTACAAATACTAATTGATTTTTTGCCTTTTATATTAATAGAATTATTGTATGGTAAATCAAACTATAAGGGTGTCTTATCTATATTACAAATATACTGTAAGAAATAATCATATTGAATTCTGCAATATAATATATAATTTAAAAATGACTATTGCTTTTCAATTAAATCTTGTGCAAGATATTGAGCTATTATTGTTCTGCATATATTAGAGAGATTATATCACTTAAAAAATGCATCAAGCTATCTGTTCAAAAATTTAAACTAGATAATGTCAGAATATTTTAAGTGAAATTCATTTTGAGACAAAGCTATCCCTTAGATTGTAGAGGGATGCAGGCAAATTTGCCTGCATAATTGCCTAAATATAGTAATGATTTACATTTTTA